AACAATAACATTGATTTTACACTTTTATATAGTTACTTTAACTAGTTTCCATTATTTGTTTTCTTATACTAAATTTTCATTTCATTCTAACTTGATTTTTATTTAAAACTGAAACATAGTACTTTCATATGTCTGTGACATGTTATGTGATGTTCATGTGGTTTAAGTAACTTGTGACTTAATGGATTCTATCAGTTTCCAGCTGCAGGATTTTTTCTTTTTACTGTTTTTGCCAGAAAAGCTCCACTTGGCTGGATTCTCAAACTTTATTTATCTCGGAAGGTCTACAGTTGACCATTTGTTCTGAAGGATTTTTTCAGAATATAAATTTGTTTCACAGGTTTTTGTTTTACTTAGTTAGTTACTTTGTTTTAATGACATTTTCTTAACTAAGTCATTTTACTGCTTCTGGATTTCATGGTTTCTTATGAGAAACAGCCCATTAATCAGATTAAGAATCCTGTCTGTCTTGCATGAAAATATTGTCTGTTTCCTGCTGATCCTATGATCCTCTCTTTGACGGCAAACAGTTTGAATACAAAGAATGAGTGAATCTCTCCCTGCTCACTCTTAAGATTTGCATCTTTTATGGAAGTGGAAGTTCGCATCTCTTATCAAATTTGAGTTTATGAACTTATTATTCAATTGTTATTCTTTATTCTCTTTTTACCAACCAATTTGAGCTCCTTTTGGAACTCAAATTATATATCTGTTGTTGCACTGGTGGTGAACAATGAAGCCTTGGGTTCCATGAAGATTTGTGGAGGTTGTTTTTTTAAAGGTAAAACAAAATTTCATAACAAAATGGTACAATAACAGTAGTTAACATATTACATGTTCTTATCTTTAAAGTAGTCACTCAGGGTACAAGACATAGGTATAAAAAATTCTCCAATTGATATTAATACAAACCTTTCTTTTTAGAAGTTGATTTTTTTTGTACCTGGAATTGAACTCATGACCTCATGTTTGCCAGGTAGGTACTGTTCCAGTGAGAAACCTTTCTTTTTAATAAACTAGGAGACACTAATATTATAGTGACCTGCATTTTCTCCCTTTTCCTCACTATCCTTTCCCTTTTCACCCATCCTAGTTTCTTTTTCACTTTGAACAGTGTCTTCTTTTTCACTTTAAACAATGTCTTCCTATATCTATTTTACATTTTAGACCTCATTTACTCTTTCAGTTTCTCACACCAGGGAGACAACATGATCTTTACACATGTAAATCTGATTTATTTCACTTACTAGTATGATCACAAGTTGCATCCATTTACCTTTTCAAAGTCTCAAGTTTATCCTTCTTTATGACTCAGTAGTACTCCATTGTATAAAAATACCACATCTTTTTAAATCCATTCCTCGGTTGATGGGCATTTGGGTTGTTTCCAAAATTTAGCTATTACAAATTGTGCTGCTATAAACATGGGTGCATATATGTTGCTGTAGCATACTGTAGTATTGTAAATTCTTCTGGGAAAATACACAGAAAGGGAATAGCTGAGTCAAATGGAACCCCTAATCCTAGTTTTCTTTAGAAATCTCACACTGATTTCCACAGTGGTTGTACCAGTCTACACTCCCACCAACAGTGGAGAAGTGTTGCTTTTTCTCATGATGAGATACCAGTTGTTGATTTCTTTGGACTATTCTGCTGCATCTTTAGCATACAAATAATGCTAACTGTATTACTGTGTGAGATCGAAAAATAGAAAGATGTAAAATTGAATACCAAAAATTTTAAATGGGAAAAATGGAGTGCATGTAGAGCTTTCTTATCCACATTTTTTCCTGAACTTCTAGTCTGTTCTTATTTTTCACCATAATCTTAACTGCTATCATTTCAAAAACTTGTTATAAGCAAAAATACTCTTCATAAGCTTTGTAGTAAATATAAATAAAAAATTTAAATAGATAAACCCATTGTTATAATCAAGGAATCAAAGCACACTTCTACAATATATTATCTAATCACTAGTGAAAGAAAATGAAAGAAACTATAATAAAAACAAGTTGCAAAATGGCTGTAGTAATACACTATCTCTCAATAGTTGACTTGAATATAAGGGAACAAACCCTCAGAATGAAAGAGAGCAAATGAGATTAGAAAAAGTATCTAATTACATATTGCTACTCTGAAGCACATTTCACGTGTAAAGACAACACACAGACCAAAAGATATTCCTTCTCAGTAGAATCCAAAAGAAAAAAATACCTGAAGCAGCCATACCTCCTTGCACAAAATATATCAGCATTACCCTGATACCAAGCTCAGGTAAGGGTACAAAAATAAGGAAACAAATGCTCTATATCCTTGAGGACATAGACACAAGTCTTCTCAGCACAATTTGAAAACACTGAACCAGCAGAGTATTATTCAGCATAACTGGGGCTGGGGATGTAGCTCAGTGGTGTAAGCGCCTGCCTGGCAAGTGCAAGGTCATGAGTTCAATCCCCGGTACCTCAAAAAAAGAAAAAAAAAAAAAAAAGAGAGAGAGAGAGATTATTCAGCATAACAAAATGAGATTTACCATAGGAATGAGAGGATTGATCACCATATGCAAATCAATAACTGTGATATAACACATCAACAAAACAAAAGAAAATGACCCATATGGATGGAGACAGAGTGAGAGCAAGAAAGAGAGAAATACAGAATTTCAGAAACAAATAAACTGTTGGAATGAATACATTATTTCAGCAAAGCTGAAGAATAAAAAAAATCTAAAAATATAAAAACATTTCTATTGTGTCATACCCAGTTATCTGAAATAGAACTCAAGAAAAAAAGTCTTCCACAATAACTGTGAAAACTACTCTGCCTGGCCAAAGAAACAAGGAACAGTTTGAAGGGAAGACCTGCAGAGTGAGAAAAATATTTGAAACCAAAACACTTGAAAAGGAAGTGATCCCCAGAGTACCAAGAACCTCCACAGCACTTGATAACAAAAACCAAGAGAGTGATGGAAAATACCAGTGGACCAAAAGAGACATTTCTCAAAAGCAGACATACTTAAAAAAAAAGATCGATGATATGTGAAAAATGTTGAACTTCACTAATCATGAGAGAAAATCCAGTCAAAGACATTCAGACGTGTCCTCACTGCAGTAAGAATGTCTTCATCACAAAGACTGCAGATAAAGAGACCTACCAAGGATGTGGAGCAAAGGGAAGCCCTGGCACTGTGGGTGGGAATGTGAATTAGTACAAATACTGTGGAAATCTAGAGTAGATTAAGAGTAGAACTACTATGGGATCTTTCCTTCCCTCTTCTGCATACAAATCCAAAGGAAATGAAATCAGTATGCCAAAGAGATTCCATGTTCCTGTGGTGATGAACTGGAAACATGGACATGTCCATCCTGAATGGCTACAGGTGTATGTGGTGCATGTGCACCAAGAACCGTAGTCATCCAGAAAAGAGGGAAATTCTGTCACCTGGGACAGTATGGATATAGCTGGAGTCATTACGCTAAGTAAATGAGCCAGGTTAGAAGATGTTACTGAATAATCTCACTGGTTTATGGACTGTAATGAAGATGAGGTCATAGATTTGAGAGGTGAATGAAGCTGGCTGGAGAGAGCAGGGCAAGGAGGGAGGGGAAGGCGGATGAATTGTTGCTAAGTCGCTGCGGGGGTAGAGAGCTCCTGTGTGCCCCGGCAGAGTAGGATGACGATAGATAACAATTGTGTACTGTGTTCTTCAGGTGGGTAGAACAAAGGAGGAGCTCACTGTAAAGAATAAATATTTGGAGGAGCAGACTTATGTTTTTTTGTTCTTTTTTTCGGTACACGGGAATCAAACTCTAGACATCATAATTGCCAGGCAGAGACGATTCCACTGAGCTATATTCCCAGCCCAAGAGCAGACTTGTTGATCTTGGCCTAAATACTACAA